TTGGTTTTTTAAAGCTTACCTATGACCGTTTGATGAAAAACCAATTCGTATCGACTCCACTAGATTGGTCTGGGATGTTTAAAGTCTGGGAATTTAGGATCGGGGATACTTATGGTATGAGAATTTATAGTCAATTGATATATGGGGAAATCTGCAAGTTGATGTCTTCTTATACATAGATATATTTTTTTTGTTTGCTTACATAGATTTATGTACTTGACTGCATAGATCGTGAATGTGTTAGGGAAAATTCAAGCAAAAACGGGAAATGACTTACAAACTCTGGCTGATGTGGAGTGTTATGGAAGACAAAAAATTTAACAAATACTCATAAAATAGCGGGGGAACAAGAAATTTGTGTGAGTCGTGTTGTGGAAATAGGCGACCTTGTACCTATCGCCGAAATAGATTATCATGTTGCAAAATTGTTTCTATCCGATTTTGAACAATCTGGAATTCACCTGAAGGAAGAAGAAGGCCAAAAGGTGATACGCTTAAACGGATCTATATTATAGCTGGGTTCAAAAATTCATGCATGGTGCATCTCAACCTAGTGCGCTTCCCAGGGATAAGGTCCCTGAGTGGACAAGAAACTATTTCCCCAGTGAAGGCAACACCATTCTTGTTTCAGGCCTATATACGAGTTGCACGAATTCTCTAGCACGTGAGGCTGCCTAGTAGGAATATGTAAAAAACATACATTTTTGCTGATGCTTACCTATTAAACTATTTTCTGACTATTTGTTAATTTGAATATTTCGTTTGCGTTGAAGGTATTACTTTTGTTACAAAAAAAAAGGGCCAAAGGAACTTGCGATTTTTCGAGAAATCTTCGCATGGCAAATGAACATTTTGTGCAGTTTTACTAAAGCACTTCATCTGTATAACTATTTCTTGAGTGAGAAAAGTTAACAAAGAATCGTTGGATTCCTACTATTTGTGTGTCAAATATTGGGCGAACCAAACTTTTCTAAGATGTATGTATATGTATAAATATGTGTACATAAATATGTATATTTATACTGAAACTCATTTTCCAGCAAAAAAGTCGATTCCGAACACTCGCCTTGACATGTGCCTTGACAGCTTTTTGCCTGATTCCCAATTACCGATCTTTTCGTCTTTTTGCTTTCATGTTTTATTTTCCATTTAGATATTAGTTTTGATGCAAAAGTGTTCTTAAGTACGTTTTTCAAAAACTTGTTTCATACGAAATCAAGGCTATTTCAATCGAAAAAATTTTAAAAGAAAAAATAAACTTAAAAATAAATACAAAATGTTCAGGAAATAAAAATTTGTGAACTGAAATGTTGTGTCTACCTCTGTATATATATCCCATAATAATCCTAAAGCTCTTAATTTACTGTGGCTGATTGCTGTTGTTGCTGCTGTTGCACTAAATGCTGATGATAGCGTGTGGACGACCATTGAGAACTATGAGACGAAGATGACTGATGGTGAAGATGGTGATGATGATGATGATGATGCGAGTGTGGATGATGACTCGCATTCGCCGCCGCAGCAGCTGCAGCGGCCATTACATGATGACCTGCGCCGGCTACTGCTAATTGACGTCAGAGGTAAAATTCTGGTGAAGTATGGGTTTCACTTTGAAGATGCTGCTGTCCATTCAAAGTTATGGCCGTGCTTGCATTGGTGCCAACACCAGCGCCGCTGCCCGTACTACCGCTGCTGGTTAACGAATTACCGGAAACAGAACCGATACCGGTACGGATTTGCAAACGCTGCTTGAGCTGGTCACGTTCCTGGCAGACACGTGAATATTCAACTTTTAGCCGGTGGAGATCTTGATTTAGTTGGCGATTTGTTTTTTCTAGCTCATGGCGTTGCTGCAAGCGTTTAGAACGGCAATTCTGTGCATAGCCTCGATTTTTTAGAGTTCTTCTTTTCTGTTTAAGACGCACAACTTCTTCGCGTGGGCAACCGTGTAGGCGTTTGTTTAACTCTCTTACCGTAAGAGTAGTCAATAGTTCATCATTAATACAGTCCTCCAGACTATTGCTCGAATTGCTGTACTGTCCTGATATGGTGCGTGGAGAATTGCTCGAAGAGCGTGTGGAACTCACGGACATGGGTCGGTTGTTTTGGTGATTATTACCATCTGAATTTGTGTTATTGATGTGGTGTGCGTTTCCATTATTGGTAGTGTTGTGCATGATGCCGCTATGGTGGTAGGAGGACGCATGGTGCATATTAATCGGTGCTAAATGCTCCAAAGTTTGAAAATGGTGATGATGGTGCGACTGTATTAAGTGCCCATGATGATGATGATGGTGGTGATGATTTGCTGCTGTAACTGATTGCATATATTCCCGATGACGTTCCCATTCTTCTTCTTGGCTACTCCCAGTTAGTGGTCTCAAATCTAACGGCTGAGGATCGGAGCGCATAGAATTGGGAAGCCACATCATTTCCTGTGTAAGCCCGGCACTAGCTGTGGGTGCTCTTGGATGTGTAGAATAATGACTTGCTACCATGCCCGCATAGCTTTGAGCACAAGTGCTATCCGTGGGAGATCCAATAACAGGAGGTGTTTCCGGAGGAGTTGAAGGTACACCCCCAGGTAATGAGGGATTAACCAATATTGCTTGGCCTGCCATCGGACCGTGTGTATACAATTCTGGTGGTGGAGATAACGGTTGTAACCGTCGTTCATCCATATGTGTCCAACTCGCAGAAAATGTTCTCATTTTGATAAGAGGCTCACCGGCAGGTTCTTCTTCATCGGGTGCAATGGCATTCGGTTCAGTTGTCCACGTAATTTTTGCACTCGGTGGACTATGGTCTTCACGTTTTACTCCAACTGTGGTGGAGGATCCATCTTCCAGGTGGTCGAGAACAAATTCCTGCACATATTGATCAGCGAGGTTCGGGTCTTCCATTTTCATTGATTATGTGCAAAGGTGGATTGTCGAGATTAAAATATAAACTCCAAATATGATCTAAGCACGATTCGCTGCTTAAAAAAACGTTTTATTTTCTGATATACTTGTTGTACACGTGAACACCACATGAATCGTGATAAAAGCATTCAAAATTCTTTTGAAATATTTTACAATTGAACTTCTAAATAAAACGTCGATGTTTTATGGATTAAGACCATTTATGATTGAATTTTATTTTATACTAAAACACTTCTTTTTGCGTTAACAAATTTTTTTTTTAAATAATTTTCTACACAAATTTGCCCTTAATAAATCGCGAATTGTAAGCCCTTAGCGTTATATTTCTTTTTTAAGAACTAATTTTTTTAATTCGTTTCGGTCGCATTAAACAACATTTTCAAATATCGTAACCGGCTGTAAAGAGTAAATGGCAACGACTAAAGTGAAAAAAGCGTGTCCGTCTGGCAGCCACAGAATGGCCGAGTTAAGCACTTTTTGCAGGTATATATTGGTCGAATAGCTAAACTTCGCACATCGTCGTGAATTGCCATGCACTTCGTTGTCTGCGCCTTCGTCTCATAATAACACATATTCTTTCACACACCTTCTTTTAGGTCACATTGGAATTCTTAGCTAGTCTGGCAGTCTACTGTTATTTGCAACCAGTGCCACTAACACCAATGTGTATCATATTTACAATATGAGTTCTTTCGCTTTTACTAACCTTTAAATGCCTGCGTGCATTTGTTAACATCCGTTTGGTTAATGTTCTCAAGAAACAACAATGGATCACCACCCTTCCTCGATTTGTTTTGGTGTTATTTTTTCCAGCTTTTTTTCTCTGATTGTGACGGCTATAAAGCTACATGCTGCGTCTGAGAGTAATTCAAAAAACCCGTCCCAAATTGGCTTTATATTCAATTCAATTTTTATTGCAAAAAGGGTTTCTCATCTCTGTCATTGCATGAGAGCAAACATATGAGTGACAAAAGAGCAGCAATGTTACTCTTAAAAGCTTTCGAATAGCTGCACTGTGTGAAGTACTATAAAAAAGTGCAAAATTCAAGGTTTCGAAATTCTCTACGAGACTATTTATATCAATCTCCTAACTCAATGATTCAATTATCGGCAATCGCGAAAGATATTGTTGTTGTGCTGTTGTTGTTTAAGGCGAATTTTCAGTCCAGGTACATCGAATCAAATAAACAGGCCTATTCTGACAAAAAATTAATGCAGAGTTAAAAATAAGTCGACGCTCTCATAATTCGGTCAGTACTTATAAGTGTGCATATTCTTGGTCAGCGATAAATTCTAAGTCGAGTTAGGTCGAGTATGTCTGTCCTTGTTTGGTGGTATCTGGGTAGTGTGTGTTGTTGACACATTATCTTCTGATTGCAAAAATGAAGACATCGACTGCAATTTAGTATAATCATGAGAAACTCTCTCACGTTGGTCGATATTGAAAATTATCTAAATTGGTCGAACTACTTGCGGCGCTGTAAACGAATGGTGGTATGTATATAAGATTCGAGCTTAGCCGAATATGATTTGCTTATTTGTTTTAATTCTTCTATTAGGAATTTCTTTAACATTCATTTTATTTCAAATTCACATTTCAATAAACATGTGCACATAGACAGCCATCTCTATGCGATGCTGCCAGACTGGAAAAAGTAATTTAATTAAAAGGATACGTCGCCTGTGTTTTATATGAAACCAGTCTAAAAGACAACTGCATTCATATTTTACTGGCGTGAAGTTAGCCCGCGGTACATAACCCACATTTTTGTATTTGCTAAAAGGTGAGCTATATTCGCGCTTCTACTAAGGTAATTAACAAAATGATGAAAAAAACTAAACAAATATAGAAAATACAAACATAAGTAAAACAAGAAATCATACAATATTGTTACAAAAAAATTAAAAAAAAAATTTACTGTTACTATTTGCCGTATAGTGCATGCATATTCTTGGCTAAAAGTTACAATACCCAAAGTGTTTATAAAAAATTTTATCGAATTTTTTCTAATGCAGATTTTTGATGTTGTAAAAGATGCTAATACTTGATAGGAAGACTTAATTTCATTACCATGGCCTCGGCCATTCACCGTCAAACTCGTAACAAACATAAAATAATTAATAAGCAATTCTCTTAAGCCTGAGACTCTGGATAATAATAGAGAAAGTACATAACGATTTTTAAACGTGGTTTTTGGGATTGGAATTTGCAGATTTATTTCAATTTGTTTCGTAAGTTTATAAATGATGGGGGATTGCAAAGTTTACAAACTATATTAATTTATTTATAGTATATTCATTTCGCTTATAACACTCAATCGAATCTAATTAAAAGTAAAAAAAGATAGAATAATAGAAGTGATTTTCGAACAATTAATTGCGCTACAAACGAACATGCATAGTTTTACTCGTTTAGGAGACATTTTTCTCAAAGTTTTTAAATATTAAAATTAAGTAAGTACTCAAAAATATATGCTTTGTCCAAAAACAAAAACGTTATGTATCTAAGGTGGAACATTTCACTAGCAACATTTGTTCAACATTTTGCATTTAGTAGTGCCTTGTGTATTTATGGAGGGCATGTTTGGAGCGAGTTTGGCGGCGTTGGACCGGAGCCATGATAATGAAATTAGGTCTTGCTATAGATTTCAACATTTTTCACGACATACCAAAAATCTATAGATGCGTAATGTCTCTGAAAATTGTTATAACACGATTTGGACATTGCAATAACTTAACTTTTTTGATTTTGTGATCGCAATTAGAGGCTTAGTTTATTTTATATTTGCACGCTTATTATTATTTAATCTTAATACTTATTTTATTTGTTTGTTTTTTATTTCGTGATAAATCGTAACTTAGCAAAGACATTTTTAAGGAAAACATAGACCTTACAAATGAGAGTTATTTGGTGGGCTATCTTCACTTCAGTTACATTTTAATGTTTTTCACTTACTTTATGTATTGTTTTCTTTTGGTCTCTAGAAATTTTTAAATTTGACAGTAAATGCAAATTTTTGAACTACTGTATAAGTTCGAAAATTCTCTTTTACAAAAGAAAATAGAAATCCTAAGCTTTGCTCATTTTGTTCTTGTTATTTATTGTTATCGTTGTTGTTCTTGTTTTGCTTCAATTGACTTCTCTCGCAAGTAAATAAGTCAGCCGTACAAGTGTGGTGGTTTTTCATATATAAGTACGTGTGCATGGCTGTGCGTAATATCCACGCGACTGTTATTGTTGCTGTTGCTGTATCAAAACAATACTCATTTTGTAAATGTAAATGAGAAAACAAGGCGTTCTTTAAATTAAACCTTGAAAGCGTTCTACTTGACGTACATAATTTTTAGCAGCTCCGCCCATTTCGTGTTGTTGTTGTTGTTATTCTAGATTTTATTTACAATCCGTTTTCATTCTAGCAATTCTGGAGATACGATTGTCTTGCGATTGACTTAACGGCAGCTTGTTAGCGTGCAATGATAGGTGTGGGCAACCAACACTCATTAAGAGCCACGATAGGAATTGTTTTGTACTCTACATTCTATATAGTTAGGCATATACCACATGTGCAAGTAGTTGTATTCGCAGTTTGCACTATGCAACGGTTAATTTTAATCCATTTTTTGGTTGGATATTCCTGTGCGCACAATCCGCTGGAAAATTGCATCTAGTGATTGTATATGATTTATATTTCCTTAAGCATACTATTGGAATATTTATCTCCATATTCCCACGTAAATACCTTAAGAAATTACTTTTGCATATATATTAAAATAGTTAATTATCGTCCCTTCATTATATTATCCGTTCACCTGGAACTTTGATTTATCGCCAGGCCAGATTCGAGGTTTGCGCCTTCCAGTTTAATATGTGGGAAAATAATTTTTCATTTCCTATTTTGCTAGGATGCAGCCAACCATTGAGTGCAATATAGACATATATACTACCCTGAAAGTGATTATTATAATGGTCGTAACGAAAAATATATTTCACTGTTCGTTGTTTGCTATTCGTTGTGTTAGTCGACACAGGTAAAATGATTGTATATAGTATTAAATATAGTGGTAAGAGCATCTACAAACACTGGTGTAACTCTAACTAACGGTTTACACGTACGGTTCGTTTAGATTTATACATTTCCCTTTATAGTAATATTAAATCAAATTTTAGTTAACGCAAACGCTTGTGTGTGTGTTTATATGCAATTTAGTTATGACCTCGATCAAGACGAAGAAGACATCACTTGAATTGCCCCAAACTTAACATTTTCAAAGAAACTCTTGTGCGACATGATTATGTTCCTTGGATTTAAAGCTACAAGCTGCACGGTTTCCGACGCGCTACAAATCTGATAAAAAACATTCACGTCCAGGATCTTAAGGTAGGCTTCCAAAGTGCATTAGATTTTTTCAGATTTAAATATTTCGTAACATAACTCTATGCACGCTTATAGAAATCTTCACATTCTGCTTATGTAGAATATCAAAGCACGCTTAACTCAAAGGAGTAATATAATATTAATATAATATTTGTTTGATTACGCAATTTTTATTTTGCATTTTATTAATGATGTGCTCCTTTAGAAACGTGAAATAAAAACACGTTATAACAATAGTTAAGACTCATATCTCTAACGCACAACACCTATTATAACGGTATATTAAGTTTATGCGGGTGTGTTGCAACATTCAGATACACAGAATAGAAATGGACATAACCTTCATTGCATCAGTTGACTCACACATATTGCCTGAACACCCGCTCCTATGAGATCTGTCCATATCTTCTTCTTCGAATCACGTCGTAGCACAATGTCTAAGGACTTAATTTTAAAAAGTCGCCATGTAAAACAATTTTATATTTTGAATATAGCATTTTGCCGCACTAAACGACTGGTCGAAATATTGATGAACTTGAGCTATTTTCTAGCCATAAGCAAACACGAAATAAATAAATAACCGTAAAACGGCACCAAGGTCTAATTTGTGGTATTTTATGATAAAGGTTGGTACAAAATAAAATTTTGACCAAGTGAAAAGACTACTTACGCCTATCAAACTTAAAGTCGATATCTTCACTTTCGTGACCAGAAATGCGTCAACGATACACACCCGGACACACAGACACACAAACAAACAGACATGGCTTAATCGATTCAGAATTTCATACTCAAGATCAAGAATATAAATACTTTATAAGGTCTCTGAAACTTCTTTCTGGGTGTTGTAAACATTACGGCAACATGAGTATACGTCAATCTTTCAGTGGTGGGTATAATAAAAAGGTACATCTTACTTGAGGTTGTAAAAAATTAAAATAAAAATTTATTGTTACCATTTAGCATAGTGATTGTGAATGACGGCCATTTACAATATACAAAGTCTGCTATAAAGAATTTTAACGAATTTAGGCAACTGCAAATTTGTGATCTTTTGAAGGATCCTTAAACATATTACAAAAACCTAATTTCATTACTGTAAGTCAAGGACTTATCATTCTGAATGTGCAATCTCAAATACATACGTGGAACATTATATTAATTGTAGGAGGGTTGGTCTCCCTCCACTTCATAACTTTTTTTTCTGATGAGTTTCAGCGTCCTCAAAAATATATTATATAGGTGGGGAAAGTATATATTTTATGTATATGGGGAGAGTATACTTGAGGCGATTTAGGTGATGACAAAGTATGGATATAGTAATAAAATTAGATTTTTCGAATAAGTTTCAGCATTTTTGACGACTTATCAAAAATCTATAATTGCGTAATGTCTCTGAAAATTGTTATAACACGATTTGGACATTACGCTC